TGCAGTGACCAGCAACAAGTATGCAGCTCAGAAACATCATGGTGAGCACAGGGCAACAGGGGCGCTAGGCAGCCAACACAGATCGGCCTTGGGGCAGCACAGCCTGCAGCTTCTCCTTGGATCCCCGCTGCTCTCCCCTGCCTGTAGAGGCAGCGAGGATCCGAGGAGCAATGGAGCGCTGCAGCCGGTGGGGGGCGGGGAACGGAGCTGTCATCCAGGATTGCCGAGCAGTCAGGAGAGAGAGAGAGACGCTCGGCCAGGACAGCCGGCGGCCCTCTCTCTCCTCACCGCTCGGTCATCCTAAAGGAGGGACAGTGCTCCCTTCTCCCCACTCCCGCCGGCTTCAGCACTCCATCTGTGAACCTCTGTGCGTGGCCGAGTGGCTCAGGATGGCAGAGCGGAGGATCGGTAAGTATCAGTGATATATACCGATCCTCTGTGTGCAGCACCAACACTGGAGTGATCAGCTGATCACTCCAGTGTCTGTAAACAACTGGGGACACATAGTACTATGTGTCCCCACTTATGAATGAACAGGAAGTGCTTTACATCACTTCCTGTTCATGAGTTTTTTTCCATGGGTGGAAGCACTCACTATAGAGGCTCCTCCCCATTCATAAACTGGATGATTGTAAATATTTTACCACCTTCCGTTTCTGAATGAATGGGAAGCCTCTGTACTCAGTGTTCTCTATTCATTCAATGCCGAGGCTGCAGATAAAGAGATTGAGGACTCTGTGTGCTCAATTTCTTTTTCTATTTTAAAAGGGAAATATCAGGGGTCTGATATTTCCCCAAAGCCCCCTAACAGTAAAAAGAATAAAAATAATACAAAATAAATAAAAAAGAAAATTAAAAAAATTCATTAACTAAAAACGTTTTCATTAGTTAAGTGAAACTAAACAAATTTTTATGCTATTTCAGATTCAGCCACCGACGTGTTCTGTGCAATGCGCGCCACCATCTTGGAGGCGGGCCGCCTGATGTCACATGACAGATGTAGGTAGATAGAGAGTCCCTCCGCACTCCTCACAACGCTCACGGCCTATGCAACAGTGGTGCTCGCAGTGATGACCACGGATGGCGCCGTGCAGACACAAGGCAGAAGACAGGAATCACCAGCACTCAGTAATATCATTCAATATGTCCATTTATTTGGACAGATCGCCACAATGAAAAAAGCCAACGTTTCGGGGCCACACAGGGACCATAAGTACTATCCTTGTTGCACTCCTTACCGATATGTCCCTTGTAGTGGGGGGTGCTCGCAGTGACCGCGGATGGCGCCGCGAATGTCAGCAATTGTAGAAATGTCACCAGCACACCAATCCTTTTAAGATAGCAAAAGCTTCATTTATTGAAGTTTTTTGTCATATGACCAAACAAGCGCTTTCGGGACCGCACAGGGTCCCTTCATCAGGCTTTAGCATTGACCCAGGGACCATGTCACATCTTTTCACCTGATGAAGGAACCCTGCGTGGCCCCGAAACATTGTTTTTTTTCGTTGTGACGATCTGTCCAAATAAATGGACATATTGAATGATATTACTGAGTGCAGGAATTGAGCTTTTGAACTATGTCATCCCTCTATATATATTCTTTTCAATTCATAAAAGTTCTAAATGGAAATCTGTTTGGTCACAGTGAGAGCACATGGTAAAAAGTACGCATACTTGTAAAAAAAAAAGGCAAATATATATATATATAGATAAAAAAACACAATTTTGGTAAACTTTCTTTTCCTGGCTACGACCATTGAAAATAATGGGCAATGCCCAATTTTGGATGGAATAAAGTAATCTCAACGTGTATCAAAACCCAAAAGCAAATCTGTAATACATTGCAGCTTACCAATCCCTAAATGTGGCGGCTGCATTCGTTTTCTTTTGTTTCTTTTATTGTCGTCTGGTGATCCGGCCAGTCATTCTATTATTTTCAACTTTATTTACCAGGCCAAACTGGCCAGCAAAAGTGTCAGATAGAGGGTTGAGTCAAACCAGTGGCGGAACAATCACCATAGCGACCCAGGTGGCTGCTATGGGGCACAGGGGGGCCCGGCCAGGACATGCGGGCCGCCTGGGTCGCTATGGCATCTCAGGCTGCTGGCTGTAAGGAGGAGCTTGCCGCTATTTACATCTCTAACAACCTGTCAGTGATGTGTGCAGCGGCGCATTCCTCCTCACAGCCGCTGAGTCGGTGACAACCAGCATCTTTGGAGGAGGTGGCTGGGCCCGTCGTCGGCAGCGATGGAGGAGGCGGGGCCTGGTGATGGAGGAAGAGGGGCCCGGTGACAGAGGAGGCGGGGCCCACCAGCGCCTGTGGAGGAGAAGGAGGCGGACAGAGGATCGGGGCTGACAGGTAAGAGGGCTTGACCGCCCACCTGAGACCCTGCAGAGCCCACCATACACAGTCTATGGTGGGCTCTGCAGGATCACTCTCAGGTGGGCTGTTTGGGTTATCAGGTGGGCGTAACTAGAAATCACAGGGCCCCATACAAAATTTTGCTCTGGGGCCCTGTGATTTCTAGTTACGCCCCTGAGGCAAATCGTTTATCAGTGACAGGGGTGCTTACAATGGTCGGCTTTTATTCATTTATGTAAAACCTTTATCCCAAAAGAAAATAAAAATAACTCTGTTGCTGTAACTGCTGAAAATGTGTTCAGATTTGAGTAAGAGGGCTTGACCGCCCACCTGAGACCCTGCAGAGCCCACCATACACAGTCTATGGTGGGCTCTGCAGGATCACTCTCAGGTGGGCTGTTTGGGTTATCAGGTGGGCGTAACTAGAAATCACAGGGCCCCATACAAAATTTTGCTCTGGGGCCCTGTGATTTCTAGTTACGCCCCTGAGTCAAATCGTTTATCAGTGACAGGGGTGCTTACAATGGTCGGCTTTTATTCATTTATGTAAAACCTTTATCCCAAAAGAAAATAAAAATAACTCTGTTGCTGTAACTGCTGAAAATGTGTTCAGATTTGATTTGTTTTTTCACTAGTCATGTCCATCTAACACCACCCTACCCCACAGGGTGACAATGCTGCTGTCCATGGGCGGCTCCGTTGCTCCTCCATAGAGTAGAGCCGTCCTAAGACAGGAAGTGTGTTACTGGACAGATCACCAGATGAAAATAAAAAAGCCTAAAAAGATCAAAATGAATGCAGACGCCACATCGGAGGATTGGTAAGCTGCAATGTATTACATTTTTGGTTTTGGGTTTAGATACATACTTTACACTTTAAATTAGCATAGGATAATTTAGAGTGATAATTTATGGAAGTGAAATGAACAATGTTGGCCACGTAATAGATTTTCCCCAATTATTATTTTTACTTTAGTCTAAATATGGGGGAGAAGAGAAAAGACCCAACACAGTTGGATCAGGTTAAGGTGTCAGGGATGATAATTCAGCCTAGAACTCATGCACACTACCGTCAAAAACTAAGTGTGCAGGTCCGTAAACTCCAAATTCTTGAATAATAATAATAATAAATAATGAATCTGAGGGCAAACAATGGCTTTCTAGGTACATTTGTCCACTCCACATTTATAACTGTTTACAATGGAAATGTTAACGTTTGATTACCTAATCAAGAAAACATTTGTGGTAAAGGTCTATTCAGTGTTGGTTTAAACTTAACGGCATATCAATGAATGTACACAGGTGTATTTTTTATGTATCTGAACTGATCTTCTGGGGAAAGATATTGCCAAAAGGCATGCATCCAAATACGAACAAGCTTGACAGCAGTGTGCATGAGGCCTTAAAGTAGTGAGCCCAATCACTCAAATCTCAAATAATCTTTAACATATATTAAATGTTATTATTAAGAATAAATAATAACAATAAAAAATATTGAATATATTATTATT